CTATGGGGCCACGAAACGTGTGAGGGGGTTGCCGAAATGGGTGTGCGGGACGCATGCGGGCACACCCACTGGGACCTTCGGTGGAGCTCCCTACAGGGCCACGAAACGTGTGAGGGGTGTGCCGAAATGGGCGTGCGGGACGCATGCGGGCACACCCACTGGGACCTTCGGTGGAGCTCCGTATGGGGCCACGAAACGTGTAAGGGGTGTGCCAAAATGGGTGTGCGGGACGCATGCGGGCACACCCACAGGGACCTTCGGTGGAGCTGCCCATGGGGCCACGAAGAGTGTGAAGGGTTTTCCGAAATGGGTGTGCGGGACGCATGCGGGCACACCCACTGGGACCTTCGGTGGAGCTCCCCATGGGGCCACGAAACGTGTGAGGGTGTGCCGAAATGGGTGTGCGGGACGCATGCGGGCACACCCACTGGGACCTTCGGTGGAGCCCCCTATGGGGCCACGAAACGTGTGAGGGGTTGCCGAAATGGGTGTGCGGGACGCATGCGGGCACACCCACTGGGACCTTCGGTGGAGCTCCCTACAGGGCCACGAAACGTGTGAGGGGTGTGCCGAAGTGGGCGTGCGGGACGCATGCGGGCACACCCACTGGGACCTTCGGTGGAGCTCCCTATGGGGCCACGAAACGTGTGAGGGGTGTGCCAAAATGGGTGTGCGGGACGCATGCGGGCACACCCATTGGGACCTTCGGTGGAGCTCCCCATGGGGCCACGAAACGTGTGAGGGGTGTGCCGAAATGGGTGTGCGGGACGCATGCGGGCACACCCACTGGGAGGGGGGCAGCGGGAAGGTGGGAACGCGGGGCGCTGTCTCTTCAAAACGAGGACCCAACAGCACAGGTTGGTTGGGGAAAAACGGCAACCCAAAACAGAAAGAAAACGACACCCGCGGGCCCCAGCGTTTTTAAGAACATCTAAGGCCAGGGGGGCGCACCACGGAACCCGCCGCGGAACATGCCAGGAGGGGGCCACGGAGCGTGCGATGGGACGCGCCATGGGGACGGGCCGGGGGGACGCGCCGCGGCCACGGTCCCTCGTGAAGTGCGCCACGCCCGCGCTCCCAGGGCCAGGATCCCTCGAAAATGACAGGGTGCTTGCGCTCCCAGGGCCGCGCTCCAGAGTGCATTGCACGGAAGTCTGACTACCTACCAGACCACCCCAACCCAACCCGAAGACCCGAATTTGACCCGAATTTCGGGTTGGGGGGGTACGGATGCCATGTGTTTTTCAACGTTTCCCGACCCCCCCACTGGAAATGGAGGGCAAATTGAGGGCTTCGGGCTGGGTTGGGGTGGTTTGGTGGGTGGTGAAAGTCACGCTCCCAGGGCAAAGATTCCTGTAAAATGCGGTGCGTCCGCGCTCCCAGGGCCACGATCCCTTGCAAGTTTGGCTGGGTTCACGCTCCGAGGGCCGCGGTTCCTCTGAAATGACCCTGCGCCCGCGCTCTCGGGGCCGGGATCCCTCGTGAATTACGCTGCGGCCGCGCTTCCAGGGCCACGAGGCACTCCGCGGAAGTCGCGAACATGATCGACCCACGAACCCGGACAGGAATTTAGAAACGCGAAGCACGACCACGTTTTCAAAACGCCTGAGTGGGCGCCAGGCAACTGCAATGCTGAAGATGTCGATCGCGACGCAACGTGCCAAGGATTGTGCTGTGCTGTGCCGTGCTGGAATTAGATGCGCCATGCCGCGATGAATTCCGTTGTGCTCTACAGCGCTGCGGTGGATTAAGCCGCCCTCGACATCCGAATCCTGGCCGAACTGATCTGGATCTGAAGCTCGAGCTGCCCGAGCGCATAGCTGGCCCAGGGCTGGCTGCAGTCGAAAGCGCGTGGGACGCCCCATCAGCTCGGGCTCGAGATCCGACCCAATTCCTCACGGAGCGAGGCGAGAGGACACGGGGCGCAGGGCGCCTGGGCGCGGCACGGAGTGTTGCACGGCGCGCACGAGTGGAGGCGCCAGGGCACGTGCCAAGGGGCGTGGCAAGGGACGCGCCACGGGGCAGGGAAAGCGCCAGGGGACACGACGGAGGCAGGGAGAACGCAGCAGAGGACGAGCCAGGGGACGCGCCGAGGGGGGAGTGGCACACGCCGTCCCGCTGTGGAGCGTTAGGGACCCATGTGTGTTCACGCTTGTCCCGTTCTGGGGCGTGACGAACCCACGTGCTTTCACGCGTGACCCGAGCTGGGGCGTCAGGGACCCACATGTTGTCACGCTTTTCCCGCTCGGGGGCGCTAGGGACTAACATGTTTTCACGTGTGTCCCGCTCTGGGGCGTTTGGAACCCACGTGCTTTCACGCTTGACCCGAGCTGGGGCGTTAGGAACACATAGTATGTGTTCACGCTTCTCCTGCTCTGGCGCGTTAGGAACCCACGTGCTTGCATGCTTGTCACGCTGTGGGACTTTGGAAACTCAATTGCTTTCACGTCTGTCCTGCTCTGGGGCGTTCGGAAACCACATGTTTTGACGCGTGCCCTGCCCTAGGGCGTCAGGAACCTGCGTGGTTTCACGCCGCGCTCTGGGGAGTGCGGAGCCCAAGAGTGTTCACGCTTGTCCCGCTCGGGTGCGTTAGGAACCCACGTGCGTTCACGCTTGTCCCATTCTGGGGCATTAGGAAACCATTTGGTTTCACGCTTGTCCCGCTCTGGGGAGTTAGGAACCCACGTGCTTTCACGTTTGTCCTATTCTGGGGCGTAAGGAGCCCACGTGCTTTCACGCTTGTCCCGCTCTGAGGCGTTAGGAACCCGCGTGTTGTCTCGCAAATGCTTTCACGCTGGTCCCGCTCTGGGGCGTTAGGAACCCAATTGGTTTCACGCCTGTCCCGCTTGGAGGCGTTGGGAACCCAACTGTTTTCACGCGTGTCCCGCTCTGGGGCGCTGGGAACCCAATTGGTCCCACGCTTGTCCCGCCCGGAGGCGTCGGGAGCCCAAATGTTGTCACGCTTGCCCCGCCCTAGGGCCTTAGGCTTGTCCCGTTCTGAGGCGTTAGGAACCCACGCGTTTTCTTGTAACCTGCACTGCGGCGTTAGGAGCCCACCCGTTTACACGTGTGCAAGCCACCAAGGGGACACGTGGCCGCCTGGGCCGACAAAAGCGGGAGGGCACAATAGCAACAACAAATCAATGAATCGACACAGGATGTGTAATAACTGGAACCGTTACGATGAAACCTCCTGGGGGCTCGTGAGACGCGTTCTGGGTCTCCAAGGGCAATTAGGAAACAAAACAAAAATCGCGTTTGTCCCGCCCTGGGGCGTTCGGAATCCACGTGTGTTCACGCTGTCCCGCCCTGGGGGGTTAGGAACCCAACTGTCCTCACGATTGTCCCGCCCTGGGGCGTTAGAAACCCACATGTTGTCACGCCTATCCCGCTCTAGGGCGTTAGGAACCCACGTGTGTTCACGCTTGTCCCGTTCTGGGGCGTTCGGAACCCACGTGCTTTCACACGTGACTCGGGCTGGGGCGTTAGGAACCCACATGTTGTCACGCTTGTCCCGCTCTGGCGCGTTAGGACCCCAAGTGTTTTCCTGTCCCGCCCTTGGGCGTTAGGAACCCAAGTATTTTCACGCTTGTCCCGCCCTGGGGCAATATGAACCCATGTGGATTCACTATTGTCCCTCCCTGGGGCGTTAAGAACTCACGTGGTTTCACGCTTGTCCCGCTCTGGGGTGTTAGAGACCAAACTGTTGTCACGCTTGTCCCGCCCTGGGGCGTTAGGAACCATGTGTTTTCACGCTTGTCCCCCGTTTAGGACTAGGGACCCAAGTGCTTTTACGCATGTCCCACTCTAGGGCGTTGGGAACCCAAATATCTGCACCCTTTTCCCGCCCTGGGGCGTTAGGAACCATGTGTTTTCTCGCTTGCTCTGCTCTGGTGCGTTAAGAACCAACCATATGTTCTCACGTTTGTCCCGCCCTGGGGCGTCAGGAATCATGTGTTTTCACGCTTGTCCCGCCCTGGACCGTTAGGAACCCATTTGCGTTCTCGCTTGCTCTGCTCTGCTGCATTCCGAACCCACGTGTGTTCTCGCTTGTCCCGCTCTGGGGCGTTAGTGTGGACGCCCGAAATGGGTACGGAAAAATGGGTACAATGCCCAACAACAATTGTAGTCCCAAACCAATAGCGGCCGCTGTTGGGCAGGCGGCCTCCTGTCTCAAATGGACACAGGCCGCGGCGACACCGGCAGTGAGTCCTGCTCAAGATGAACAGGAACTGCTGTTGGGCATCGTGCCCGTTTTTTTCCGTACCCATTTCGGGCGTCCAGAGTTAGGAACCCATCTGTCTCCACGCCCGTCCCGCTCCGGGGCGTCAGGAGTCCACGTGTTTCGCTTGAGACATCCTCGAAAACGTCTTCGCTTCGCTTGATGTTGCTATCTCAACATAAGAAGGAAGTGAACCTCGATGGTGAACTTTGCACAGTGATAAAAAAGTGCGGCCTCCGCGCCCCGCGCCCCTGACCAAACTCTTGTTGGCCGTGGATAATCAACTCTAGCGTGGAACGGGGGGGGTAATTATCATCGGCATGCGGTTACTCCCACGGCCACGTTGAGCAGCCTGGGGCGCCGAAGCCCTGCGGGTGCTGCACCACGAGCGCTGCGCTCGAGGCATCCTCGGGGAGACCTGGGCGCAGGACGCGCCCTCCTCGAGCGGGCGCGCAACAAAGTCAACAGTTGCCCATGGTCTGCGAAATTGCACGGCTTCCAGACATCGTCATTGTATCGCGGAGTCTGCCCAAAAACGCGTTGCACCCTCTTCTTCGCGAGGGAAAACGAGTGTCTGCGGATCCCGTTATGCATCAACGGGGGGGGGGGGCGAGCGCGAAACGCACCTCGTTTTTTCAGAGAATCGAGCGAAAAGTCGCCAACCCTACGCGAACTTGGCACCTGGAACATCTTACAAAACTAAAAGAGAACTCTGGGCCCGAGTCCTTTCCAGGAAGAAAACCGCGCACATTCGGCCCCTGGCACAGTTGATAAAATCACATCTGGCTGCAGCTTCGCTTCCCTCAGGTTCCCCAGCAACAACAGCGCCTGCTGCCACTGTCCAAACTTTTCGCAAACACTAATTCCCGCGCTACAGCTGATGACAGTGGGTGGTAACTTCGCCCTCCACATGTCGCTGAGCAACGATACCGCCTGCTGCCACCGCCCTCCTCTTTCGCAGGCAGTAATCCCCGCGGTGTAGCTAACGACGTTAGGTGGCAGTTTAGCTTCGAACAGCTCCCCGAACAGAGACAGCGCGTACTGCCACTGATCGCTCTTTGCACACGCGCTGATCCCGCTGCTGTAACTGAACACGTCTGGTTCAAGCGTCACCTCGAGCACTTCGCGCAGCAAAGACAGCGCCTCCTGCCAATGCTCGCCTGTCCCGCAGGCGCTGATCCCAGCATTGTAGCTGATCGCGTCCAGCTCCAGCTTCGCCTCCCACATATCTCTCAGCAACGACAGCGCCTGTTGCCACTGCCCTCCCTTCTCGCACGCGCTGATCCCGCCGCTGCAACTGATGACGTTGGGCTCCAGCCTCGCCTCCCGTAGCTCGCTGAGCAGCGACAAGGCACGCTGCCACTGCCCGCCCCTCGCGCAGGCGCTGATCCCAGCACTGTAGCTGATGACGTCTCGCTCGAGCCTCGCCCCCAACATCTCAACGAGCAGAGTCAGAGCGTGCTGCCACTGCCCTTCCTTCTCACATGCGCTGATCCCAGCGCTGTAGCTGATCACGTTCGGCTCCAGCAGCGCCTCCCACATCTCGCCCAGCAGCGACAGTGCCTGCTGCCACTGCCCACCTTTCTCGCAAGCGCTGATCACGGCGCTGTAGCTGACTAGGTCAGACCCGTGGACTCTGTCCGCGTCAACCAACGTGTCCAGCGTGTGTTGTTGCTGCTTGTTTGTTGATTTAGACTGCTTACTGCTAGTGCTGCTTGCGAACAGTTGGCCTGCCTGGATTGGCCTCTTCCTTGCCTGCTGCTTGCTTGATTGCCTGATTGCCTGCTGCCTGCTGCTTGCTGCTTGCTGCTTGCTGCTCGATTGCTTCCTGGCTTGCTGGCTTGCTGCCTTGCTGCTGCTGAATGTGTGCCTTCTCGTGCCTTCTTTGGGGGCCTCCTGGACTACCTTGGAGCCCGGCGTCGGAGCAGACGTCTTGGACCGCCCTGGGGCCGTATTAGGGTTAGGTCAGGCATGTCCTCCTAAGGCATTGCTTGGGAGGGGAATTTAAGACACACGAGACATGATCCAACATAGTCACAAACAAAAACACGAAAAATCGTCACCTGACTATTCCTTCATACTCTTGAGTACTCTTCGTGCGAAGGGGGACATGTCCGACGAAATACTAGGGCCAAGACTGGAAATCAATAAGCGCATGTCCGCCTGATGTCCCAACGATGTTCCATTGTGCCTGTGGCCGTCCAGAGAAGTCGGAGGAGGTGCCCGGGCTGCGCAGGCTCTGAGGAGGAAGCAGGAACCGCAGAGCGTGCCCACGGTGGCCAGCGGGTCCGGAGCACTCTCGGGGAGAAGTCCCCGACGGATCGCCCATTCAGACCGGAGCCGCTCCAACGAAGCGAGTAAAATTAGATGGCGCATGGGTGCCTTGTTTCCTGGGGTGACTGGGTCCCAGAGCTCTCGAATGGATCTTCCCTCGGCAGCCCGTCGGAGACAGTCTTGGGGGCCTCTCGGGGGCCTCTCGGTGGCCCCTGGGAGCCTGACTTGGGCCTCTTGGTGGCCTCAGGAGGCTTCTGGGGGGGGGGCTCTTGGGGGCCTGCTGGCTGTCTTGGGGGTCATCTTGGGGCGGAGAGCGCGAAATGGCAGTTCGAGTCCCCTCTCCTGGGCCTTTTTGGAGTCGTCTTGGGGTGTCTTGGGGATCTCTTGGGCCGTCTTGGGTCCATCTTGGGTCGTCTGGGAGCCCTCTTGGAGGCCTGTTGGGCTGTCTTGGAGCGATCTTGGGGTTCTCTTGGGCCTTCCTGGAGCATCGCAAGCCCGAAAGCAAGAGAACGCCCAAGTCCTGCGAAAACCAAACGGACATCAATGGTTTAGGCCTCTCGGGGCCCTCTGGGCGAGCCCTTCTGGGCCGTCTTGGGTCACCAGTGTGGCCTCCCGACAGCCGTCTGGAGGCCATGCCGGTGACCTTTTGGCCTGGAGGCGTCTCTGGCGATCCTGGACCGTCGTGGGGCCCTCCCGGGCCGACCTGGACAGTCCTGGGGGCGCGCCGGGACTGGCGGGGCCGATCTGCGTCCACTCGGGTCCTCTGCATCCCTGCACGTGGAGCGCCTGGCAAGAGGCTTCGTAGAATGGGGCTACCCAGTGGACTAGCCTCCACGATAGTGGACAGAGAACTATGCACACACACACACACACACCGATTCTAGCCAGGCTCATCCTGAGCCCAGGATCGGTGCATACGCCCTCTTACCTTGGCTAGGAAGGTATGTGCACCGATCCTGGGTCAAGGATGGACGTTGTCAGGGTCGGTGCATGTGCATAGTTCTCTTCGCCCGACACGAGGGCTCCTCGAGTGGGTTCGGGGTGGCGGAGAAGTCGCCGTCCAGGTTGCGGATAGCGTGCCGCCGGAGCTGGCGTGAACGGGTGGCAGAGCAATCCGCACTCTGCTTGGGCACAACTTGGGGCTCCATTGCGGCATGATTCGGGGCGCTCTTTGGAGCTTGTAGCTTGTAGGGCTCCCTTGGGCCTTCCCGCCCCTCCTGGGGCCATCTGGGCGCCCCTTGGAGCCACTGGGTACTGTTGAGGCTCCTTGAGGCATCTTGGGGCGGTCCTGTGCCATCTTGGGGCCGTCTTGGGGCCATCTTGGAGGCTGGCTAGGCCCATATTGGCCATTCTTGGGGGCGTCCGTGGGCCTTTCTGAGGGTTCGGGTGGGCCTCTCGGGCCTTCGTGGATTGTCGCAGGCCTTTGCGAGGAGCGAACTCGCAGGGAAAAAATGGTGGGGACAAAGACAGAGAAGGAGAAGCGAAAATGCATGAAAACCTTACGACAGTCCTCCATCTTCGCCTGTCGGGCCCTTGGCGAAGCCACCTCGGGGCCACCCCGGCGTCGACTTGGGGCGTCTGGGGAGCGTCCGGAGCCTTCCGAGGACCCTGCAAGAGCTCCTGGGGTCGTGGGAGAACGTCTTAGGCGCTCCAGAGCCGTCTCAGACCCTCAGGACGGCTCCGAGAGGCGCCGGGAACGCATTTCCAGCTCCGACGGCCTGCGAGGAGCCCAAATCCAATCGACGCGAGGAAGGACCCAACCCTACGCAGCCGCGCGAAGCGCAGGAGGTGGCCCTGACTTCACAGACTGAGCGCCGCAAGGCGTGCTGAACTTCACACTGGGGCACGAAGCGCGTGAGGGGTGCGTGAAAACTGCTGGGGGGCGCACTTGGACCATCTCATTGAGGCCGTAGGTGGGAACACGATGGAGGTACGGAACGTGTGAGGTGCGCTCCGAAATCGGCGAGGACCGTAGAGAGAGCTCGATATGGGGGCAGGAAACGTGAGAGCGTTGTGTCGAAATGAACGGGGGCGAACTGGCGGGGGACCACATGTAGCCGCACCCACTGGTGCCTTCGGTGGAGCTCCCTGTGGGGCCACGCAACGCTTGAGGGGCATACCGACAGAGGAAGGGAGCCGCACGCGCACCCTCTGTAGCCTTCGGAGGAGCTCCCTTCCTGGGCCACGAAGCGTGTGAGGGACGCGCCGGCAGTGTCGTGCGGGCGCAGAGGACACCCCGCCAGTGAGGCCGCCGGAACTCCCTGCGCGGCCACGACACGTGCGACGGGAGTGCCGACATGGCCGCGGGGGCTGCTGCTGCTTTGGGCTCTCGGCTCTCCTCCTCGGCACGCAGCAGCCCGCACCTGCCCTCAAACCTCACGCTGCCAAGAGCTGCGGCATCGCAAGAGCACCACCGTCGGAGCCCCGGGGCCCATCGTTCCGCCCCACCTTCCCCCGCCCGATCGATCTGTGCGGGCCCCGTGGCCCGAGGCCGGGCGACGACGCTCACGCGTGAGCAAACGGCATGGCACGAGCTCCCGGCGCCGCGCCCTCTGGGCGCGCTTCGGCCCCAGGCACCCGGCTGCTTCAATCTTTCCAGTGCGTGGGCCCTGCCAACGGGGCCTTCGGTGGAGCTTCCCCCGTGGAGCCGCGGCGCGCGCGAAGGGAGCGCCAACATGGTCGAGGGAGCCGAGTGCGATGCGCGCCTCCGGGGCCACGGGCCCCCTGCGGGAGCCAGCAAGAGGGCCTCAAGAAGGCTCCTTATCCTCCTCCTCCTCCTCCTCCTCCTCCTCCTCCTCCTCCTCCTCCTCCTTCCCCTCCTCCTCCTCCTCCTCCTCCTCCTCCTCCTCCTCCTCCTCCTCCTCCTCCTCCTCCTCCTGCTCCTGCTCCTGCTCCTCCGCCTCCTCCTCCGCCTCCTCCTCCTCCTCCTCCTCGCCGCCGAAAGCCGGGCGCTTGGTGGAGCTCCCCATGGGATCACGGAACGTGTGAGGGGTGTGCCGAAACAGGCGGGGGGACCGCACGCGAGAAGTGCACGAGGGGTGTGCCGAAATCGGCGGGGGGCCGCATGCGATACCCTGCCACTGAGACCATCGGTGGAACTCTATACGTGGCCACGAACCGTGTGCGGGTTGTTCCGAAACAGACGGGCGGACTCATGCGAGACCCTGCCCCTGAGGCCATCGGTAGAGCTCCGTCCCCAGACATGCGACGTCCTGATTTTTTCAGAGCGGGGTCCCTGAAGTTTTGTGGGCCCCGGAAACGGCAGGGCCGTTATTTCACCGTTTCCAAAAAGTGTCCCTTGAAAATGGAAACGGCAAAAAAACGGCGACCGGAAACGGCAAAAAAATGGCTCCAGGATTGAAACCGGAGCCGGAACCGGTCAAAAAACGGCGACGGAACCGGTAAAAAAACGGCGACGGAACCGGGACAAAAACGGCAAGACGGAACCGGTAAAAAAAAACGGCCCTGTCGTTTCCAGGGCCCACTAAGCCCTGGAAGTCCCGACCCTCTCCCCGGGACCTGTTTCTCGTCTTGAGTCGCTGTTTGCCGCTCGCGGGCCCAGTGCGGGCTCCCAGAGGCCGACAATGGCCCCAAACCTCCCGTACTGACGAGAAGGGGGGAAGGAGGAGGAGGAGGAGGAGGAGGAGGAGGAGGAGGAGGAGGAGGAGGAGGCGGAAGAGGACGAGGGTGAGGAGGAGGAGGAAGAGGAGGAGAAGGAGGAAGAGGGGGAGGAGGAAGAGGAAGAGGACGCGATCATGTCTGGGTCTGGGGCCACGAAACGTGTGAGGAGAGTGCAGAACTGGCCGGGTGGACCACATGCGGTGCCCTGCCGCCGAGGTCTTCGATGGACCTCCCTGTGGGGCCACTGCGCGAGGGATGTGCCGAAATGGACGCACGAGGAGGAGGAGGAGGAGGAAGGAGGAGGAGGAGGAGGAGGAGGAGGAGGAGTGGACGCGGGGCGGTGCGGATTCGAAACGAGGACCCAACACTTTTTGTTTGGTCGCAGCGCTGGCGATCGCGCTGCGCTGTCACATCGGGGCATTGCGGCACAGGCCCTCTTCGCGCGCGCAGGCTCCTGTATGGTATCAGAGAATACGTTGGGCTCCAGACTCGCCTCCTGCGACTCGCTGAGCAGCGACAGCGCCTGTTCCCACTGCCCCCCCTTCTCGCACGCGGTCATTGCAGCACTGTAGCTGATGATGTTGGGCTCGAGCCGAACCTCCCGCATGCACCTGAGCAGCGACAGCGCCAGCAGCCACTGTCTGCCCCTCGCACACGCGCTGATCCCAGCGCTGTAGCTGACCACGTCTGGCTCCCACTCCCCCCCCACCATTCCCCCGAGCAGCGACACCGCCTCCCGCCACCGCGCGCACTTTCCACACGTGCTGATGGCTGAGGACATCTCAAACCCCCCCCCCCCCCCCAGCCAGGACCCCCGCTCCCGACATGAGGACCCAAGGCTTCCTGACTGGGGACGGGGGACCCCCTGGATTACCAGGTCGGGAGTGGGGGTCCTGGCTGGGGGTGGGGGCGGGCTGTGCTGTCCTCAATGGCGACGTTGTGGAGAGAGGCATCGACTCTTGCGCGCGACCGAGTGGCATCCCGGAGCAGCGCGAGCGCTGCAATCCACTGCTCGGTGCTGCCATGCGCGCCGACGGCCGCTCGGAAGGAGGAGACGCCGGACGTCGCCGCGGCTGCCCCACGGGGAAGCAGACCTGCATCCTGGACTGACGCACGCATTCTGTTCGGCCAACCTGGCTTGGGCCAAGACGGGAGGCAAAAAGGGGGATGCAGGAGACGAGGGAGGCAGCGAGAACGGAGCGTGGGAGAAGGCGAGGGGGGGAGCGATGGAGGAGGGAAGTGAGGGAGAGAGCGAGAGACGGAGCGAGGGAGGGAGCGAGGGAGCGGGGGAGGGAGAGAGGGAGCGAGGGAGGGAGCGAGGGAGGAGTGGACGGCAACGAGACGACGACGCCAACGCCAACGCCGACTGTGGCGGCGCCGACCTCTGGGAGCCTCCAGGAGCCTCCAAAAACCTCGGGGAATCGCCATAAACCTCCAACATGATCGACCCACGAACCTGGAAAGGAATTTAGAACTGCGAGGCATGGAAACGTGTCCAAGCACCTCAAGTGGGCGATGGACAGTGGCAACGCTGAAGGTATCAATGGTGATGGCATTGTGACAGGGGCTGTGTTGTGCTGCTCTTAGCTGTGCCGCGCCGCACAGTGGCGTGCCAGGGGACGCGCCACCAGACGTGCCAGTGGACGTGACAGGGGACGTGCCAGGCCACGCGCCCGCGCGATGTGCCAGGGGGAACGCGCCTCGGGACGCGCCACGGCACGCGCTAGTGGACGCGCCGCGCGGTGTGCCCAGCGGAGGCACCACTGGCCATCGCTCGGACGTCCATTCCCTGTGTTTTTGTCGGTTTCGTGCGTGGGTTTTTCGCCAAGTGATCAAGAATACTCCTCGATGGTCCTCGCCGAGGAAAAAACGCACACGTCCGAGCGATGCCAAGACCAGGGCACGTGCCAGGGAGCGCGCCCGAGGGCCACGATGCCTCGCAAAGGACGCGGCGCACGCGCTCCCCTGGCCAGGCTCCCACGTCAAGCACGCCGTGCCCGCGCTCCCAGGGCCACGATCCCTAGTAATGGGGGATGACGATTAATAAAAAATTAGAGAGAACGATTAAACAAATACTTTCCTGCTACTTCTGCACATTTTTCTGACTGGATGAGAACGATTAAAAAATAGTTTTTCCAGCCCGCGGCGCAGCCGCGTGAACACGACCCCCGGTCATTTATTAATCGTCATCCTCCATTGAACTACATTGCGTCAGCGCCCCGAAGGCCCCAAGGCCACGATCCCGCGTAAATGACGCTGTGGCCGCCCCCTCAAGGCCAGGACCCCTCGTGGGTCACAATGTCCGCGCTTCCAGGGCCACGACCCCTTGCAAAGTACGTTGCGTGGCCCGGATCCTTTGCAAATTACGCTGTGTCCGCGCTCCCAGGGCCACGATCCCTCGTAAATTGCTGTGCTTCGAGGCTTCCAGGGCCGCGAACCCTTGTGAATTACGCGGCATCCGCGCCCCAGGGCCACGATCCCTCATGAATTACGCCGCGTCCGCGCTCCCAGGGCCACGAGGCACTCCGCAAATTGGATCATGGATTCTGGTGTTTTTTGTTCGCCCCCCCCCCCCCCCGCCCTTTCTGAAAAATCGGCGCTGGACCCGAATCACGAATCCTCATAAATTGCAGCGTCCGCGCTTCCAGGGCCAGGACTCCTCGTAAATTACACTGCGTCCGCGCTCCCATAGCCAGGATCCCTAGTGAATTACGCCGCGTCCGCGCTCCCAGAGCCACGACCCCTAGTAAGATACATTGCGACAGCGCTCCCAGGGCCACGACCCCGCGTAAATTACGCTGTCTCCGCCCCGCCCAGTGCCACGATCCGTTGCAAATCAATATGCGTCTGCGCTCACAAGGTCAGGATCCCTGGCAAATGACTCTGTGTCCGCCCCCTCAAGGCCAGGACCCATCGTAAATTACAACGTCCGCGCTTCCAGGGCCACGACCCTTCGTAAATTGCACGGCGCCCGCGCTCCCATGGCAAGGATCCCTCGTGAACTGCGCTTCGTCCGCGCTCCCAGGGCCTAGAATTATGACGGGCATGTCCCTGCACAGGAGGAGTATTCAAAAATAGTCAAACAAATAGTCTGGGGACGATGTTTTAACTATTGTGTGACTATGTTTGAATCTGTTTAAGACATGGTTCACATATGTTTTATGTGTCGCCCAACATTCGCCTGTAGGGGGGCATGCCCGACCTAAGCCTAGTAAGCTACACTGCCTCAGCGCTCCCAGGGCCACGAGCGCTTTCGAGCTACGTGGCAGCCGCCCCCCCCCAAGGCCAAATCACGATGCGCCCGCGCTCCCAGAGCCACGATCCCTCGCGAATTCCGCGGCATCCGCGTGGCCAGGGCAAAGATATTTCGAAACTTGCAGCGTGTACGCGCTGCCAGGGCCAGGACCCCTTGTACATGACGCGACGTGTGCGACGGGCGCCAGGCCCTCAAGTTCTGCATAGCAAGCCTTTCGCTCAAGGCCACGATCCCTGGCCAATGTTGCTGTGTCCGCGCCCCTAGGGGCAGGATCTCTAGTACATGAGGCTGTGTCAGACTCCGCGGGCTAAGTAGGACCCATCGTAAATTACGCTGCGCCCGCGCTCACGACCCATGTAAAGTACATTGTGTCCGCGGCATCAGGGCAGCGATCCTTTGTAAAGTACGCTGCGCCCGCGCTCCCAGGACCACGACCCCTTGTAAATGACTCTGGGTTCCCTCCTCCTGGGCCACGATCCCTCGTAAACTGCACTACGTCCGCACTCCCAGGGCCACGATCCCTTGTGAATGACGCAGTGTCCGCGCCCTCAGGGCCACAACCCCTACTGTAGTAAATTACGGTGTGCTCGCGTTCCCAGAACCACCTGGCTTCCTGAAGCACCCAGGCCTTCCGAGCGCTACACAACAAGCGCTTCGCTCGAGACATCCTCGGGCATTCGTCGCGCAGGGCGCGCCACCCTCGATGGGGGCGCGCACAGAGCCTACACGCGCTCTCCATGCAAGCGCGGGGCTCGAGACATCCTCGAGACACCTGCGCGCAGGGCGCGCCGTCCTCGAGCGGACACGCAGAAGGTCGACATGATGTCATGCTCTGGAAAAGTATACAATTTCCGAACCTCTTTAGTTCATAAGGGTTCTGCGCGAAACGCTCCGAACCTTACTTTTTTACGAAGGATAGCAGGGGTCTGCGGACCCCTGTAGGCAACGAGGGTCCAAGATGGGGGGCGCATTTTCCTCGAGCGGGCACCCGCGAAACGCCGACGGCAACGATAACGACGACGACGACGATGACGACGACCACCACCACCACGACCACCACCACCACCACCACATCGACGACGACGACGACGACGACGACGACGACGACGCCGACGACGACGACGCCGCCGACGCCGACGACGATGCCGCCGACGCCGACGACGATGCCGATACCGACGCCGACGCCGACGCCGACCCCGACGCCAACGCCGACGCCGACGCCGACGACGATGCCGAAGCCGACGCCGACGCCGACTCCGACGCCGACACCGACGCCGACGCCGAAGCCGACGCCGACGCCGACGACGACGACGAAAAAGAAGAAGACGACGACGACGACGACGACGACGACGGCGACGACGACGACGACGGCGACGACCGCCGACATCTGTCGACGGCGACGACGACGGCCTCGCGGCGGTCGGCAGCGAGACCCAGCGAGATGAGCATGTTCTCCAGCTTGTCGATGCCCACGCGGCCGCTCTGCCCTGCGCCCCCGGCGCCACCCGCCCCCGCGGCGGCGGCAGGGCGCAAGGGCAAGGGAAGGGCGAGGGAGGGAGGGAGGAGGGCGGGGAGGATGGCGGGAGCGAGGGAGGGAGGGAGAAAAGGGAGGAGGGCGGGGAGGAGGATCGCACGCCACTGAGGGGAAAGGGGGGGGGGGGGAGGAAGTCCGACGGTCCAAACAACCCAGGGGGGCCCATCAGAGGGGAACTTTTTGTCACCCTGGCAGGAAGGCCCAAGACCTGCCAGGGGCCAGCGACAGGGCCCCCCCCTGGGTATCTAACCGCCCAGTTCTTCTTCCTCCAGATCATTGTGTGGGCCTCGTTCACATCGCCTCAGTCCCAACTCAGCGGCTTCGAACTCATTAGGCCCGAACGCTTGCAGGACATCGGCCAGGCACAAACCCGCGCGTGCAGGATGGTCCGAAGTGGCTCTGGCCACAACTACATCTCCCATCTGGGCCTTCTTGGGCTCCGAGACCCCCCCCCACACCAGCTCTCGCGAGCAAGCCCCAGGAGTTAGCCAGGGGCCCAGTTTGAGAGACCTGCTGGGGTGCTTGCCCTTGCTGACTGCCCAAGAGCTCTTCCTGCCTAGGTCAGCCAAGGTCTGCTGGGACCCTCCACAGCCCTGACGCAGGCCTCTGGATCCCGCAGACACCGCGGCATACTCTCCGTAGGTCGAACAAAAAAGAACGGGAGGCTGTTTATCCTCATCCGCTAGCTGCAGCAAAACAAGCCCTCCTGTGAAAGAAGGGGCCTGACGGGCATCCTCTGCCATCGCCAGCAGCTCTGGCGCCAAGGGCTCTGATGGAGAGGACAGTTGAGGAGCGTCGGGGGGGAGGAGCAGGAGCAGCAGCACCATCAGCACCACCCACCCCCCGCCACCACACCGCCTCAAGTGCCTCCTCAAAGTCGGATCTCCATTCCAGGGAGATCTCTGTGAGCCCCTGGACTCCGACATTGTCCACCCTGCCTTCCTGCACATGTGGGGCTTCAGCCCTACAAATGGACTGCAGGAGAAGGCGTGCGACCTGGAGCATGCCTTTGGACATCATGACAACATTGGACGGGCAACCGCATAGCTCCGCACTTAAATCCGAAAGTCGATCGGCTTCGGCACTGCCCTCCCAGTCACAGTGCCTGATACGCCCTTCGCGCATCACAGTCACCGTCGCGTGGGCCGCCACCTTACAGAAACTCACCAGATCGGGCGCTCCCTCACGGAACGCTTATTTCCAAAGAGGCGCCGCTTGTCCTTCAACCTTGAGCTCCCAATCACGCAAAGTGCGAACGAGCGCCGCCTGCCCTACAAGCGGCCTGGGACCTCTCCTCAAGGACTGGCAAAAGAGGCTGAGCGGGGCCTTTCGAGCATTTGTGAGCCCCCCG